GTTTCTTTTTAAAGAGGGAGATGGAATAGAGAGAAGGAAAACAGACTTTTAGGGGTTGAGTGCTCACCCAAATATCTTCCCAAAAAAGAATGGAGTTTCCAGAACAAACATCATACCTTAAAATCTGAGGAACTTTGGGAGAATGCCATAAATAGCCTTCCAAGGTGTTGTGAGCGAAGCCCTTTCGGATTTGATTTGGATATTGAATATCATTAATAACTTAATAGTGTATATCATTAATAAAATTATATAAAAATAACTTGATAGTGTATATCATTAATAAAACGACTTGATCGTAATTTCTGAGACTTAAACAAATGATTCTTTAGTAAACATAGAGCATTCAAACCAACTTTGCTAATAAATTCTTTTCTCCCAAACTCCCCACATCACTGCATGCAAAACAGTTTTCCAGTAAAGTTTACCTCTTTTGCTTAAGCCTCTTCCTTGCCACTGTTTTATGAAGTCCAGAATATGCTCTGGAACAACTGAACTGTAGCCAGCCAAACTTAGGAAGTAGTGCCAGATGTTTTGTCTTACCTGACAGTGAAGAAGTGATCAACTGATTCACCTTCACTAAGGCACAGAATGCAGGTGTGGGGAGAGATGAAAAGTATGAAACTCTTCTTCTGAAGGAGGTCAGAAATGTTTATTCTTTGTAAACAGGCTTCACAGACAAAGAAGCAAACTCTTGGGTGGAGAGTCCAAACTCTAGTGTCAGGGGAGTAGGGGAAGATGTGAACTTCTTTAAGGGTTTGGAGAAAAAAGGTCGTTTATCTCTAGGTCCCTTAAGGGTCTTCTAAGGCTTAAATTCAAACTGTTCTCAGAAGGGAGATCAGGTAGGCAGGAAGAAACAATTGCTTCTTGGTCTAGGGAAGGAGTCAGCTAGAGTAGAATTACCCCATCAAAGGTTCTTCTAAAATTTAATTATGATCCCAGTGCCCACTTTGTACCTAATAAAAGAAAGAAGTTGTTGTGGGTAGAGACAATACCTTTCCAAGGATTTGTTGACTTTATCCAGTTCAAATGGAGGTTACTATTCCAACCATTTGTGCTTGAACCATATTTGCTAGCAATGGCAGTTGCCTAGGGAGCATTGAATTCAATGGGAATATCCAAAGCCATTTACCCAAGAGAGAGATATTCTTATCTTTTATATGTCCAATTCCTAGTCCACCTACCTCAGGCTTGCACACTTGTTCCCAGCTTACTAAGTGGTTTCTTTTCTCCCGTCCACCTTCCCAAAGAAAGTTTCTTTTCAATCAGATTTCTGACTTTGGTTGGTACCTGGAAGACCGAAAAAAAAAAAAATTGGCAAATTTGCTAAGGGATGCCTTTAGAAGAGTGAGTCTATCTCCTTTAGGAAGGTAGTGTCTTTTCCAAGTTGCTAACTTCTTGTCGCATTTCTCCACCACCAGCCCGTAAAGGCTCAAGGTTTTTGGATTGCTGATAAAAAAATGCTTAAGCTTTTTGGATTCCCATCGAGAGGCATCCCTAGATAGGAAATAGGAAGTCTCCACTTTGCACTCGAAAATAGTTTTAAAGTTTCCTAGAAGATCCTTGTCAACTGAATTTATGGATACAATACTACTTTTGAAGAAGTTGAACCTCAATCCAGTTATCAATTCAAAGCGGTTGAACCTCAATCCAGTTATCAATTTAAAGCTTTTGAATTTTTTGAGAAAATTCAAAAGTAGTATTGTATCCATAAAATGCTTAAGCTTTTTGGATTCCCATCGAGAGGCATCCCTAGATAGGAAATAGTATGTCTCCACTTTGCACTCCAAAATAGTTTAAAGTTTTTAAGAAGATCCTTGTCAACTGAATTTATGGATACAATACTACTTTTGAAGAAGTTGAACCTCAATCCAGTTACCAATTCAAAGCGGTTGATTACCCTTTTTGTATTTAAGATTCTTTCCAGCGAGGCTTCCAGGAACAAGATGATGTCATCAACAAATTGTAAGTGGGAAATATGCATAATATCTCTTCCCACTTTAAAACCTTTCACTAGACTTAGGAGCTTGGCTAATGATATCCATCACCAAAGTGGAGAGAAAGGGGGAGAGAGGGCATCCCTGTCTAAGCCCTCGACTAGCATTGAAATAGCCTTTGGGTTCCCCATTTAACAACACTGAGAACCAAGAAGAACCAATGCAGCCTTTGATCCACTGAACCCATCTACCATCAAAGCCTCTCACCTTCAAGCAAGAAGAACTCATCCTCCCTCAACTCAACAATTTTCTCAGGTATGATGTGTGTACTGTTAATTCGATTCTCTTTTGGGAAGATATTTGGGTTGAAGAGTCTCCTTTGAAGGACCTCTTTCCGTCTTTATACACTATCTCCCAGTACAAGAAAGAGCCTGTTTCTTCTTTTTACTCCCCTTTGGATTCTCCATTGACTCCAGTCTGGGACATTGGGTTCCGACGAGGTCTAAGGGATGAAGAGATTGTCAGTCTTACTTGCCTTTTGAGTACCCTTGAAAAAGTTTGTTTGGACCCCACAGAATTAATAAAAGGTTTTGGATTCTTGTGCACTAGGGTAGTTTTTCTTGTGCCTCCTTCTTCAAGGCCCTTTCTTGTCCAGTGTATGCTCCTCCTTTCCCTTTTAAGGAGGTTTGGTGCAAACCTGTTCCTCCTAAGGTCCTGGCTTTTAGTTGGGAAGTGTTTTATGGGAAAGTAAACACCTTGGATAATCTACAAAGGAGAAGACCCTATCTCTGCATTTCACCCAATTGGTGTACCCTTTGCAGATCCCATGGTGAGGACTGCAACCATAATTTCCTGTACTGTTACAGCAGATTTGTGGGATTAGCTCTCCTTGATTTTTGGATGCAGGTGGAATAGGCGAGCAGATGTTAGCTTACTTTTTGACCCTTCTACCTTTGCTTCGTGCCATCGAAGAGGAAGAATCATATGGAGGGTTGCAAGAGCAGCACTGCTTTGGACAGTGTGGGAAGAAAGGAATGCCAGAATATTCCAAGAGAAGATGCCAAGCCAACAAGATTTAAAGGACTATATCCTGTATGGGGCTATAGTGTGGGTGGGTAAAATCTTTGGAGTTATTTCAGCAGTTTTCTTTTAATGACCTGTGGAGGCATTGGGCAGAAGTGGCAACAGTTCCTCATTGAAGACAAGGATGCACATGAGCTGGGTACCCCCACCTGAAGGCTTCCTGAAATTAAATTTTGATGGGAGTAGCCTGGTCAACCCAGGCCCTTCTGGGATGGGAGGGGTTATAAGGAATGGAAGTGGTTCTGTGTCTCTTCTTTTTTTTAGGTCCTTTAGGTGAGGGGGACTCCACGAGGGCAGAACTATTTGCTGCACTACAAGGGGTACAGTTTTCTGTACGGATAGGAGTGGAGTAGCTACTAATAGAAGGTGATTCTAAGGTGGTCATGCCGTGGTTACAGAATCCAGAGACTGTAGTTTGGTGCTTCAGAAATTAACTTAAAAGATTCAAATGCTTGACGAGAAACTTGTATGTTAGGATACAATGGGTAGGGAGATCTGCTAATGCTATGGCTGACTGTTTAGCCAAACAAGGGGCAACGAGGGAACATTTGTATTGGGCTCAGCTGTAATTTTTTTTTGTGTTTGAAGGGTCTGAGAGGTTGCAGCTCGTGCCTCTCCAAGTGTCTTCTATAAAAGTTGCTTCTAATTTCTTTCTCTAATAAATTCTTCATTTATCAAAAAAAAAAAATTGACATATTAGAGTGGCCACTTTGTTTAAAAAAATGCCCAAGGTTAGGTCTTTTTTATAGTCTACCTCTCCCAAGACCCCAGCTACCTGTCACAGGCAACAGTGGTTAATGGCCTTTATCTGTTAAAGCTTTGTCATTATTGATTATGAGAATTCATGTCATATATATCTTTGGAAGCCCTGTAAATGGGAAAGCTTCATAGGGAATTACGAATTTGCTTTTCCCAATGTTCTTTTCTTTATATTTGATCAATAGTCAAGACACACATAGGTATGCATGTATATACTTGTTATTTTGTGTGTGTGTGTGCGCGCGCGCATATATCCTTGTTATTCTGTATGATTTCTTAAAGTTTCTTTGTTTTTTACCCGAAAGAAATTTCTTTGTATATGCCGAGAACCTCTGCATATGAAGTAGCCATAAGAAAGTATGAATGAGCAATTCACCTATATAAATTTACAAAGAAAATTTTGATGAAAAATTATTGGTTCAAAAAGAATTGAGTTCCACTCTACTGGACTTCCTGTAAGAACCTTTTATCTTTGACTCTCTTCTGTCTAGAGCGTCAGTGAGTATACATCTGCCTAATTTACAATTCAATCACCTGCTTGCTTCTGTACTTGTCTTTAAGAATCTATTTTTGCTTCTTTTTGTGCTCTCCCTGCAAAAGCAAGGGGTGAGGAATGCCGTTGCCATATGATATTTATTTTCCTTCCAAACCAACTTCCTCTCTGACATAGAATAGAACAAGTCCAACATGAATACATCATTGAAGCTATGCTGAATGTCTTAAGTGATGTAGAATTTGCAATGCAGTAAGAGGTGATTTCTCATATTTGCAGGCTTTGGGCAGCTAAAAGAGTGGGTACCACTTAAAGGTGAAGTTGATAAAGAACCAAGGCTACGGGTTCCTCATCCTACAACTGCAATGAAATTTGAAAAAACAAGAAAACGACGTAGAGCTGCCATTGGGGACTATTCTTGGTCTGTTGGAGATAGGGTAGATGCATGGAAACTTGATGGGTAAGCATTTATATAACTTTCTTTGATTTTCATTCTTTATGAGTTATTTAGAGTGGTTTCCTCCTCCCCTCAGTCCTATGTTTGTAAATGTAGGATTTGGACAGTAACGACAGTTATGTACGCTTGTTATGTCATAATATTCTGTTATTAAAGATTTATCAAAAAATATTCTGTTATTAGAGTGGGTCAAGGACTGAAGGGTATGCATGCCTGAGTAATTTGTTAAATATTTAATGAATTAATATTAATTGCTAAACTTTTACAGTTTGGTTGTTGGTTTTAAGTACAGATTCCTATGTGACCTCCATTGGTGGTCTTAATTATGTAAAAAATCTTTGCTTTTGTTCATGTGTATGCTTTAGTTTGTTACACATCTAACATTATACAACCTTGGCAAGAAGAAATGCAGTTCTGGAGGTGTAAATATGATATTGTGATGTAATCATATATAATTAGAAGTCCATCATGATTATATTGTACTTTTTGTCAGGCTGATTATGCAGTTCAAGAAACTGTATTGTTTTCTTTTGTTTTTTTGATAGATAATTGGAAAGTGTTGTTTTCTTTTGTTGGTTAGATGCCATCGAAGGAAGTACTACTTTCATGTGTACCACCTTGAGTGGGGTAGTAGAATAAACAGTCAATTGTATTAGTTGACCAAGCTATGTTTCCTCTAATGCTTTGGGTTTTATACATATTGTTATGTCTAGAGATGCTTTACCTTTAAAAAAAGAGAAAAGAGGACTCCCAAAATTCTTTTTTCTGTGAGGAAGGGCCATCTTACAAGGTAGCTTTGTCAGTGGTGTTGTTTTGGCTTCAAGTTGAATGGGGATACTATGTTTAAACATTCATCTCTTGGTAATTTCTGAAGTTGGCATTTGTTATCACGTCTCTTTCATGATTATGAGGCATCATTTTATTTTGGATAAGGTATATAGTGTTGACTCTAGGAAGAGATTCCCTCAAAATTTATTCACAAATTAGGATGCCTCTTTTCATGATATTTACAAAATGAATCAAATGACAAAATCATTCTCTTCAGTGATCTGCTTCCAATGAGATTCAATTTGACTTTATGATAGGCTCCTAGGTTTGTTAAATATTCCCGGCCATCGAATTATTAAGCTCTTCACTCTACTGGCCACTACCTCTATATTTTGGGCTTTGCGCTAAAAAATCCTCGTGTTTCATTCTAGTCATACAACCCAGCATAATGCCTGAGGTACCAAAGCCGGAATGCTTCCTGGGTTGTGGGCCAAATGGTTATGACCACGATTCACATATTTAATATATTGAAAACTTTTTTGTAAAACATGACACATTTTATGCATTGGCGGGATGGTTAATTCATTGTTTTTAACCTCAATTATCCAGGGTTCAAGTCTTGCCATTTACATATTATGTGAATATACACATTTAATAAAATATGTATTAGATACACAAATTCAAGCACACATAACAAGATGGATTAATGGTAATAAGCTAACTTAGCTAAATGATAGGTTGCGAGTTTGAATCTTTAGGCTTGCATTCTAAGTTTCAGAGCATTTACCTACCTGGGCGGGTTGTTAAATCTGGCTGGTTTTCAACGGTTCCCAGTTTCTCAGAAATTTAAAACCTGGGGTTCTAAAAAACCAGAATGGTCTCCGGTTCCCAGGTCTAATGGCCGGTCCGGTCTGGGTCTTAAAACATTACTTGGGTGTCCACAAAGCCAACAAGCTTGCCAACTCCTCTCTAATGGTATCAAATAAGGGGAAATATGGCCCAAATCCCATATGTAAAGCTACAATGGATCAGCAGGCGTTGGCTTGATTCCTTTTCTTGATACAATGACTGCATCAACTATCCATCACCATACCCTTTGCAATCAGCTGATCTATTGTAGGCAATTAGGTATCTTATTAAGCCTGACTGTCCAGAAGAAGAAAACCACCTTCAATGGGGCATTGCATTTCCATACCTATTTCCAAGCAGCTTCCTCCCAGGGTCTTCCAACTTCTCATAAAATGATTTTACCTTGATTCATGAGTCATCATGTTAATAAATATGAGGAATCATGTTGCAAAGGTGGTTGATTAATATGATGACTGATTAATTTACCCTGATTCAGTCAAATGGGTGCCTAGGTCTGCTGACTTGTTATCCATCCGAAAGGGCCTGTTAACACGCTAGCTGATTATCTCACTAAATCAGAGGCTGCAAGTGAATGTTTGATTTGGGGTTCACTAGGGCCTGGTGTTGATTTGTAAACTTTTTTTTTCTCTGTATATTGAAGTTATTCAATGGCTTTTGTATTCTTTTCTGCTATCCAGCCTTTTTAGATAGGTTGGCGAATGAATTTCATTATGTTCTTTCTCAAACAAAAGAAATGTTGTGAAGGTGATTGAGCATATTGTAAATGTAAGTGGCTAGTGGTTATTTATTTATTTTTATTTTTTTTTGGGGGGGGGGTGAAGGGAGTTATATATGGTGAATAACAGTTTGGACAAAATGGAGGGATGTATCTGAATGTTGTCTGACTGAAGTACACTAATCAGGCAATCATGCTAAGGAAAATATTATGAGGGAACTGTAAGGCTAGCAATGTTGGATGGAGCAGAATTGATGCAAGAGTATCTATTTGATCATGAATAGTCTCTGTATTTATGTTTTGTGTTTATTGTGTTTTCAAGGGTATTTTTAGTCATTAGCAAATCAGTTTAGAGAAAATCATGAGCTTCTAATTAGTTCATAGGAGTTATGGATATTTTTTCCTAGTTGAATTCTGTGCTAGGATGGAGGTGGCATCTCCTATACGGTGGGAGACTACAAAAATCCAAAAAAGAGAGATACTTGAATGTTTTGAAATTATTTATGCACCAAGAGTCATGAGGGTCTTTAACACAGCTTTTCCAAGGGTTTCTTCTTCTTAAGACTTTATATTTTTAAAAATTCTGAGATTCCTTTCCATTCAAATGTCCAAAAGATGGATGCTGGGATCAAATACCAAGCTACTATGCCCTTTTGACTCAGCCCATTGACATTGTCAGCTGAGAAGGGTTTTTAGCCCTGTGTATGCGGCTCCTGCCAATGTGGGGACTTGGGGGGGGGGGACAAATGAATGTAGCCTTACCCTTGCAGATACACAGAGAGATTGTTTCCAAGAATTGAACTTTGGTCACCCAGGTTGCAATGAATCAACCTAATCCAGTGATTTAAAAGGTGCATATGCGCCTTGCCTAGGTCCCGGGCACAACACTTTCAAAAGGTGAACGTCTGGTTGCCTTGTGCTTCGGCCCAGGAGCGTGCCTTTTGAAAACCTGTGCATTTTTTCTGTTTTTTTATGCTTAGCTTCTGGTTGGGGTTTCTACCCCCAGACCCCCGGCCAATCCCCTGGAGGCAAGCCCAAACAAATCCATATCAGGGTCTTAAATTCTTAATCCCTTAAGATATTTTTAAAAGACATTTTTGTTAATGTTGCTGATTCATTCATCCTAATAAAAGATATTTCTGAAAGGCTCTTAAAGTTATAAGACCTTTTTTTATAGGGATTAAGAATTTAAGACCCTGAAATGCACTTGTTTGGGCTTGCCTCGAGGGGCTTGGTACAGAGGTGGCTCGTAGAATCAGGAGTGCATAATGTTTAACACTACATTAGCTATTTTAAATAATGCAATTGGGAAAAAATAAAGCAATTAAGAATTTACATGCTTGAATATGTTTTATATGTTATTCTTCATTTTATTTTTAAATTTTCATTTTAAATATGTTTTACATGTTATGTTTATCTATTTTAATTTGAGGTAAAAGGTTTTTCTAAACAATATTTTTAAAATTTAAGTTTATATTTTTAATTACTAATGTGTTTACTATTTTGCATTTTTTGGCTTTTTGTTGAAATTTTTGGCTTTTTTTTGAATTTTTTGCATTTTTGAGTCTCGTGCCTCAGGCGCAGAATGGCCCTTGTGCTTTTCAAACAGTGACCTAACCATTGCACCAAGGTCCACCCTCATGAGAAGGGTCTCTGTAAGAGTTTGGGATTTAGGAAACACCCAACTTATGTTGAGAGAATGGATACAAATGAGTCTAAAGTTTGGAGCTGAGTGGGCAGTGTATAAATAGATGATTGGCTGATTTCAGGCACCCATTGCAAAGGATGCAATTTGTATTGGGGGAGCTCCATACCTAGTCTCAGTAATTTACCCTTAGATACACTTTCCAGGGCTGCTGTCCAAGTCAGAAAGGCTACTTTTAATGAAACTCTAGTTGCCCAAATCCTCTTGCAAGGGAATGGGGAGGGTGTGTAATATGATTGGAGGATTTATGAAAGCATTCAACCTTTCACAGAGTGGAACAGTGAAAAAGGATTCATGTAGCTGAATTCATGTGGTTGGGATATTGTATCTTGTTGAGTGGAGTAATATGTTGTGAAGTTGGACAAGATAGAGAGGCTTCCTGTTTAGAGCTTCCATGTTTATTGATTTCCAATAGCTGCTCAGCTTAATTTTCAATTTTGGTGTTAATTAAAACACTGTTTAGATGTTTGCCTGAATTGATAAAGACACCCTAATTCAATAGTTTGTTGTATCTCCACTATGAGAAATATTATATTGAGGACATTCAAACATCAACTACTCATGCTGCCTATAAAAAAGCACCAATATTTCAAAGTGCATTGCACTTCAGATCACCTAGCTGAAGATCATAATATGAGAAGATTGAAATAATAAAATCATCATCCTAGTTGGAGTTTCAGTAGGTGTATTTTTGACTTTTGAGATGTATCTGGACACTGAATTAATATCAGAAATTTAAAATGGAACCAAATCTTTGCAATTATTAGACATGGATGCATTGATGACGTGGATCCACTTATATCTAGTTTTTTAAGCTAAATGTCATTGATCAAGATTTATTTCTTGCAAAATTTAGTTAAATTTCTAAAATCTACAGATACTGTTATAATGTAATTTCTTAAAACTTACCACTCTACATATTTTAAATTTCTAAAATCTACAGCACATGTTTTAAATGTCATCTAGAATTATCGATGTGGTGTCCAAATCAGTATGCTAAGCATATAAAGGTGTCTAGGTATCTTTGGTCAGAATGTGACCCTTGTCTGACACAGACACTTCATCCCTTGGGTAGAGTCAATGCAACATAGTGTTCTCTAGTTTCTATCACCTTTCTTGTGAAGGAGATTTTTGTCCTTTTCTGGAATATATATTCTCAGAATGCCTGGAAGTTAAATTGCTCCATTTAATCTACAATCCTAAACATCTATGCAAAGTGTCTGTCTGTGCACTTAGTTTTTGAATTTTCTATTTTTCCATGATTGCAGGTAAATCTTTCTTTCCCAGCAATTTAACTTGGAACCATTCTGACCCTCTTAACCCTTTCGTCCAAACATCATCACCAAATCCTTTCTTATCCCATCATCGCCCTTCTACATTCATTAGGTCATATGAGACCTACATTTGGTGTTAGAAAAATTAGTCTTATGTCAATTTGGTATTAGTGCAGTTGGTCCTACATCACTTTTTTTTTTTTTAATTTATGTTTTCTTTAAACTACTTTTTGTTTTTTTATTTAGTATTGCTTAGTTATAGTCAATATCATACTTGTCAAAACTGAAGACCATTAACTTGTTTTCCATCTTACTAGGTCAGCAGTATTTTCATGATAAATGTATAAGAGAAAACCCAGATCTAAATGAACATCATCTTTGCTGAATGCTACCTGGTTTGTCCTACATTTTCAATGCTACTTGAAAACAACAAATTGTAATGAACTATAATTTGGCATACATGAGATGGCCCTTGACCACATTTATTAAACTTCTGAATCGCAAAGCTGTATTTAAATTTTTCTTTCAGAGTTATTCTAGGCCATGGTTCTAACTGTGTTTCAAGTCTCTCTCTCTTAATTTTAGTCAGACTGTATAATTTTTTCCTTCTTTTAGCTTTTGCCATCTTGTGTGAGTTCACTGATTTGTGCCTGTTTAAATTGTCAGCTGGTGGGAAGGAATTATCTCAGAATGGAGCAAAGAGGATGAAATGTCTTTCATTGTTCATTTTCCAGGTATGTTTTTTTGTGTTTCTTTACCCATTGACTCTGCTTCACTGTGGCATGCAGAGTTTATAGTTGAGGAAGTTAAATTTGTCTTCAGCTCAAGGAGATACATCAGTTGTGAAAGCTTGGCATCTTCGGCCATCTCTTGTTTGGAAGGATGGGCAGTGGATTGAATGGTCCCGTTCTAGGGAAGATCAGCCCCGTTCTAATGAGGTTTGGATGTTTAATATAATTTACACTTTGTAGTGTATACAATTGTTGCTTATTTTGATTATTAATTTTAATTATCTATTGAAATTATCCTTTATGCTCAGGCTGATACTCCACAGGAGAAGCGACCAAAGTTGGGAAAACATGGGGCTGGAACAGATTCTGCAGTTGAGGTAAGTGGGAAGGACAAGGTTTCAAAAAATATGGGCGTCAGTGATTCAGGGAAACCTGAGGCGGCAAGGCTTCTAGCACTATCAGATAATGAAAAAATATTCACTGTTGGTAAAAGCATTAAAGAGGGAAGTAATTCTGATGCACTTACAACAAAGAGGATTGGTCTCCAGAAGGAAGGCTCAAGGGTTATTTTCGGCGTTCCTAAGCCTGGAAAGAAAAGGAAATTTATGGAAGTGAGCAAACATTATGTTTCAGATAAAAGTGCCCAGACAACTGAAGTAAGTGATTCAATGAAGTTCACAAAGTACCTGATACGTCAAGGATCAGGGCCCCGTGGATGGAAAAATACTAATAAAGTTGATTCAAAAGGAAAACGAGCAGCTGAATCTAAGCCTAAGGTGATTAAGTCAGGGAGAACTGGTAAAAATTCTTCTGAGAAAGATAGTTCTTCAATTTCTACTCTCTCTCTCTCAAATGATGGCCGTGTGCATGATCACGTCAAAACTTCTGTTGGCCATCATGAATCCATCCCAGAAAGGCAGAACCAGCTACAGCCTGGTTCGTTTCCTGACAACAACAAAGCAGCTGAGGGTACAACCTTATTTGCTTCTCTATCTCTTGCATCTGATGCTCCTTCATACAAGAAGAAGTCTTCGGCTACTGATTCTACCCTGGAGCTTAAAGGAAAAGTTGCTCCTTCTGCTGAAAAGTTGGCTAGAAATGATGAAAAAGATTCGGGTCACTATGATAATGCTGGAAAATCAGTTCCTGATGTCATTGAGCCCCGAAGATCCAATCGCAGGATTCAGCCAACATCAAGGGTACAACATTAGGAATTTCCATATTTGATTCAACTTTTGTTTATTACTGATGTATTCTTTTAATTTATCTACTGTACTTTGTTGCAAGCATGCCCATATTTGTCTGATTTTTTTTTCTGTGATTGGTGCCCATGTTTGTCTGATTTAAGCTGGAAAGATCTCTGAACTTTTTTATTTTCTGCATCATGTGCCTATTTAATTTTCATTATTGTGAATCTTGAATGTGGTTGTCTCTAGTGATCTATTTAGGGGACAATTTTTTGATTGGTTATTTAGGTGTCAAATTACTTAAATGGAATTCAAATTTCAAACCTTGAAATTGCATGTACTTACAGTGAATTAATTATTAATTTCGAATTGTGAGAATCTGGGTATCATTTTGAAGTGCAAGCAGTGAATCTATGTGAATCATACTGAATTAATAAATTTCGTTGTGCGGAATAAGAAAATTTTTACAAAATGTGTAGCAAGTATAATTCATTTTTTTTTTATGCAAGAAATAAAATGATGAACTGGGTAGGTGCAGGAGTGTTTCAAATGATTGATGGTTTGGAAATTTAGAGTTAAGTAAATGGTGGAGAGTCAAATGGGAGGCCCAGCATCCAGAAGTACCATAGTTGTTAGGTGCTTAGCTGAGGCCGGGTGACAATGGAGCACCTTGTCACGTAGGTGATTTTTTTTTCATATAAAAATATGCTTGATTTTAATTTGTTGAGTTAGCTTGTGACCTTGGTGTAGCAACTAGGAAACATAGACAGGTGATCTAACATGAAACACCAAATGTTTAAAGTAGAATTAAAACAATATTACATAGCTAATGAAAAACTAGCGGATTGATCCCTATTCTGTTAAATGCAAGTGGGAGAGAATGTGTACATGTGTGTTAATTTAAAGAACAAGAGAAAACAAATATATGAAGGGATATGAGTGCATTAATTACAATGAAAAAAGGAAATGAAGAGTCGGTGCAATCATTCTGGTCAGTTAGAAAGACAAAGAGAACTAAAGCCCATATGGAATCGCTAAGGCGAGAAACAAGACAATCCCCAAAAAAAGTATAAACCAGGTGCCCCCTCTGTGACAACTGTGACAAGTACAACTTGTCTTTGATGTAGTTATGTAGTCTGCATTTGGCATTCCTTATTTTAAGGACTTACCTCCTGTTTGCTCTTTAAAAGTTAAAACTCAGTGTTCATAGGGGCATTTTAACTGCAAAAAGGAGATAAGTCCTTAAAATAAGGAATGCCAAATGCAGCCTGCAGCCGTAGCCTTAGTTGTGTAGGAGTGATGAAAGTAATTGTGCACTTAGGTGGGGAGTGATAAAGTGCTAGTTTGAGAGGGAGGGTTGTATCTAGATGTGGAATTATCATTGTTTTATGGTGCTATTTTTTCTTTGGGGAGTGATAAAGTGCTGGTTTGAGAGGGAGGGTTGTATCTAGATGTGGAATTATCATTGTTTTAAGGTGCTATTTTTTCTTTCTTGTATTTCTTATTTAGCTTAGGGACTTGTTATTATTGGATAATTGGAATTATTGTTTTCTTGTGTGATATAATTAAGTATGCTACTCCTAAAGCACCATAATTTTGTCCTTGTACATATAATAATATTAAAATCTGCAAACCTTGATCCGCTAATCTCAAGTACGAGAATTTGGCAAAATGAAGTGAAACAACAGGCCAACACATAATACCCAACCCAACCAAAAAACGTTGGGTTGGGTTGGGTTGGGTTGACTTCAACCTGACCTAACCTGGCCCGACTAGCACCCTTAACCATGATACCCTTCGTTACTTTGATCTAGCAGTTAGTATTACTTGGATTTGTTCCCATGTCTGTCTTGTTTGTATAATGTGTGGCATGGTATGCAACTGCGAATTCTTTCTTATGGACCATCTGTATTATGTGTCAACAAATGGCCATATGATATTCATGTTGGGAATGGCTTTGACCTATGGAACGTTCTTTGAACATACAAAATCTATGGATCATAAACAGCTGTTCCCATTGCCGTCCGTGTTTACCACTTTTATTATTATTAGTGTCAATAGGGGGTGATTTGGGTCGTGATGGGTTGGGAATTTGTGAAGTTTTCAGTTGACCTGAATCCTAACCTGAGCCTGACATTCTTTAAAATGGGCAACTCAAATATGCAGCCTTAAGTGTGAATATTCAAATAGCCATACATATGGTTCCTAGATTACACTTATCTCCCACTAGTCTAAATGCACACTACATTTATGGATAAAGTGGGGATTCAGATTTTGGCTTGATATATTTCCTATATGGTTGCATTAAATGTGTCTTTTGTATAGTTTCCAAGCCTTAGCAGGTTTTTGGTGTGAGTTGACATTTACATTTGATGCCTACAGCTATTAGAAGGGCTGCAAAGCTCCTATATTATCTCAAAGATTCCTGCTATCTCACATGACAAGAGTACCAGAGCTCAACATAGAGGCACTCAATCATCAAGGGGTAAACATATCATGTCTTGTTTCATTCCTAATTTTGTAAATTAGTTATATATGTTATCTGGATGCAATATCAGCTAGCATTGTTTTCCTCCAAAATTTTGAAAGAGGGCATGTTTCTACCCATTTTCTTCATAAAACTGGGTGGGCAATAAATCCAGACTGCAGTTTAAAATAACATCTGTCATTGTTTTCCTTTTAATTTTGGGAGAATTACTGATATGGGCACTTAAGTTTTCACTTACAATTAAAGAATGTGGAATAAAATCTGCAAGAATTCTCCTCCAATGGAAACTTGTGTCTACTAGGTAGGGTTGGGAATTTGTTAAATTTTCAATGGACCTGATTCCTAACTCAAGCCTGTTGCAGTTGAAATTCTTCAAACCAGGCAACCTGACTTGTAGCCCTACTACCACTAGGCCCCTTTATCCAAACTGTGTTGAGCTACGTCTAAAATCAATGGCTTTCTAGACATCTTATAGCCTTTCTATTATTGTTAATTACTGTTTGTGACAACCTCATTGAATTTGAGGTGACCTTTTTTTTTCTCTATTTTTTTTAAAATTTTTGTAATTTCTATAAAGTCAGATAATGTTTTCATGTTCTTTTATTATCATTTTCATCGTTATTTTATTTGAATAATCATTATCCATTTGGGTTTGGTCAGCATGATTCTAAATGGCTAAGTTTCATTCATAGTAACAGTCTAACAGAAAAGAATACAAAGAAAAACTTTACTCAAGTTCTTGATTGAAAATATTGAAGTATTTGTGCTAGATTTACTGATTTAGGACTTAGTGGTAATAACTAGGGGGAAAATTAGTGCAGATAGTTTCCTGCACTACCCTTGGTTGGCTTAGAGAATTAAAACCATTCATTTTTTCCGTTCAATTTTTGGCTTCCAAATTTCTGATGCTGATATTTCTATTGGAACAGGGAATAACCATAGCTGAGAGGAGCTTATGCCATGCTGGAACCTCAAACAATGTCAAGGAAATCAACTATTTGGTGAAAAATATCTTGTGTACCGTTGTGTAAATAGTAATTATAGGATTTATGAGAGCCAGGAAAAGGCATTATTTTTTTCTTGGGCTTAATATGATGTTTCATAAGAGGTTTATATCAATTATTAGTTTCTTAACTAGTATAAGCACTGCTTTTTCTATGATTTTTCCCAACATATTACGTAGGGAAACAATCCATTTCAGGAATCTGTTCCAGGGTGATCAAATCCGGATGTATGTGCTGAACCGTTTGCCCTTTATCATATATCCACAGGTATAGCCACTTATTCAGCCTTTTCTTTCTTGGGTTTATGAAAAATTAGGTGATGTGGAATTTATAGGAGTTATGTTTGTGTGCTGAAACCGAGATATTGATTGCTGATACAGGTGATTTCTGTTGGTGGCTCCAGCACCAATTTTTATTCTTGTATAGGTATTGTTGTTAGTCTTTTACTCCTATGCTGCAAATTTTCCATGAAGTCAGGTGAGAGTTTCAGAGCATTACGGGTCACTTTAAACAAGAAAAGCTGGTATAGATCAAGTGTCGACTTGGACTGACTTTTGGTGGTGCTGGAGTCACTTGTAAGGCATGAAAGTTGAGACAATGCATATACTGGGGAAACCTTGGCTAATTTTGTTTTCCAAGAGTTCACTGTGGCCGGAGAATCGTTCTGTGTTGGTGCTTAAAGTTAAACTGCGAATTTTGCAACTTTGACAGATCTCGGTGAGGGGAATTCTAATACATGATAATAATCTTCTTTTTTATTCTCTTATTCGTATCATGTACAAAGACAATGGATCAGGTGGGTTGTCTTTTTCTTTACTGTTACCTATCCAACAATTTCTTAAGTTTTTTTTCTGAAAGTTGGTCGACTTGTGTTTACGACTCCCCGAGTTGACTCAACCTCGGTTGTTGAACCTATATGCCCCAGTCTTTTAACTATAACAGCCCTAAGCCTTTTATACGGAGTCCGGACTCCGGATCTGCTCCTCACGCTGACCTCACAGCATGTCTTGATTGCACATCTGGAACATATCCGGTACTTGTATTCAATGTTTTCAAAATAGGATCGGATGGTTGGACCGGAAAACTGGGAACCGCCTACCTCAGGTTCTGTTTTAGCCCAGGTGGTTTAACCGGTGACCTGCCTACCTGAACAAAGGTTTTTGGCTGTTTTTTATTAGTTTTATTATTTTTTGTCAGAATAGGCCATCTGTTAGGTTTGAATGGTTGGACTATTCGACCTGAGAACTGGACCCAGAACGGTTCTCTGTCCAGTTTGGTTTTAAAAATTTTGTTTGTATTTATTGTTCATAGGGAGATGTTCTCAATACACAACATAATGGGATGCGGCTGTGAAGTTGGTGTGAGGAGCGCTTTGTGAGGTGTAGATCTCAATTCCTTTTATACTTACACCCAACACTAAGGTTCAAAGTATCGATATGTATCAGCCTATACCGTATCGGCCTGTATCGGCCGATAGCTTCCCAATATGCCTCTACAAGGGTTGTATTGGGCCAGATCATGGTTCAGGGGGTAGTTGGGACTTAAACCAACCTCTTTAAATCAATTTAAAAAAATAAATAAAACATAAAAGAATGCATCGACACAGGATGACGATGCTTTGAACGTTTAACCATATTGTAACTGAATTAGTATGCAAGTACTTCTAGCGTTTAACCATCAAAAAGGATGTCTAACGTTCTAATGTAACTGAATTAGTATGCAGATCTCAATTCCTTTCAGTTGTGCATTGGGAATATCATTTATACTTTTATATTATGGTAAAATACATAAATCTCTCCTTAAGTGTCTGACAATCACAAAAACCTTCCCCATAGATTCATTTTAACAAATACCTCTTGAATTTTTGAGAAATTCAACAAAAACTTCCCTTCCATCACTGTCCCAGACGGAAAATATTAGATTAATGCACCAGTTTTTTCCAAATACCTATTTTACCCTTTTATAAATTATTTTATATACAAAATTATTGAAATAATCCCATTTTAATTCAACAAAAACCTCTTTTAACGATCATTTCAGTAATTTTATATATAAAATTATTGAAAGATATTTTTTTTTTGGTTGAGCTAAAATGCGACTATTTCAGTAATTTTGTATGTAAAATAATTTATAAAATGGTAGAATGGATGTTTGGAAAAAATTGGTGCATCAATCTAATGTTTTCTGTCTGGGACAGTGACAGGAGGTTTTTGTTGAGTTCAGGGGAGGTATTTGTTAAAATAAATATATGGTGGAGATTTTAGCGAGGAGTGCCTGCTTCCTAGGGGCAAACATAGAGCAATTTATTAAAGTGGAGGGCAATTTCTTTATACTTCATAGAGCAATTTATTAAAAGTGCCTTGTATGTAATGGAAATGTTAAAATAGAAAGTAGAGGCAATCAAGCATATAGTTAAGAGCGAAGAGTTGGTACTGAAGTTGGGAGAAGGAAATTTGAGAAATGAAATTGTAGGCAAGCCATCAGCTTCGCTTTGATCCTGAGCTGCTCTCGGCGATGTACGATGGTCTTGCACCAACATTAGTCAACAATGTTACAAGGTATTGAGAAGAGATATAATGTACGCGTTAAAAACTCAACTTGAGCGCACCTGTATGCGGTATGGGATCGGTGGCTCCAGGTCAAATAACCAGCCATTAGGAAACGACAAACCCCAAAATACATAACCAACCATTACCAAGGGGAGACCCCAAGTCCCCAACAAAAACTTTGCGATTCGCTGTGGCAAACCCAACCCAAAATACCGTTTATTCTCCATGTCAGACACTGAACAATACCAAAAATTGGGAACGGCAAACCCCAACAGTTTAGGATTCTCTGTGGAAACCCAAATCCCAAGCACCATTTATTCTCCAAAAGATAGCAAAAATTAGGAACGACAATTGGACACAGAACAATAGTAAAAATTAGGAATGGCAAACCGATGCTGAAGCAGTAGCAAAAATTAGGAATGCCAAACCCAAAGAAATAGTTTAGGGTTCCCAGGAATTTTTTTTTCCACTTTAAATCTGAGAGATTAGAGATTAGAGAGAGAGATTTTGACAAGAGATTGAGAGATGGATGAAGTCGGACAACCTGAGACCTTTGATGTTGAACAATAGCAAAAATTAGGAACAACAAGCCGACATAGAAAATAGTAGGAAAATTTAGGAATGGAAGACCAATGCTGAGCAGTAGCAAAAATTAGGAGTGACAAACCCAAAGAAATAGTTAGGGTTCCCTAAGTTTTTTTTTCCAATTTAAATCAGAGATATTAGAGAGAGACATTCAGGCAAGAGAGAGAGAGATTAAGTTGGACCACTTGAGATTTGAACCTGAATCAGTTGATGATAGTGCCGATACTCTTAAAACTACTCCAAGCAACTAAGCCATCTCGCCTCTTGTTCATTTGATGAAATAAAATAAGTTTTATTAACTTTTGTGTTCATCCAAACAAATAATAAATATTTAAAATTGGTATTTTTATGCATTATTCATGGTTATTTGACCTTAAATTTAGTGTCATTAATGTATTTATGATATTTGTATATGTTTCCCTAGTGTATCTAGGCTTTTCCATAATTTTGTCTCCACCCATGTATTTCCAAAGCATATATGTATTCGTATCTGTATCCAAGTTGTTTGATACAATACTCGATATTGATACTTTAGTCATTAGTTCAACATTAAATATATAAAAAATGTTCTTCAAAGTTTATTATCAACCAACAACATTCAACAAGAACCAACATTACATAGGACACTACCATATAAAAGAGCAAAATAAGATAGTATAAGTCAAAAAACAAATAAAATTAAGTGACATAAGAGATGGGTAAACAAATAAGTTTGTAATTTCAAAGAACAAAAAATCCAAAAAAAACTAAAAGTTACCCATCAATAGGTCTTTGACTCTTGTTCTTAACTTTTAAACGTTAGGCTGTGTTTGGAACCGGTGTAAAACGTCATTGGTGTAAAAGTACACCGATGATGTCTTACATTGAACTGTGAAGAAGTGACCATTGCACTTTTGAAAAGCGTGATATGATCAGTGCAAATTTTTACATCGATTTTATCAATGTAGTATTTACATTGATTTTATCAATGTAGTATTTACATCAATATTCGATGTTAAATGTGACGTTTAATGAGGTTTTACACTGATTCATGACGTAAAACTCCACTCCATCCAAGCACATGCAAAACTGAGCCGGAGTGGAGTTTTATGCTGATCATTATTACACACTCCTTCAAAACACCAACAAAATCGAACCAGCGTAAACTTTTACATCATTCTTGATTTACACCGATTCCAAACGCAGCCTTCAGGGTAAATGGGTAAACAAATACACATGAAGGTTGAAGAATTGGAAATTCACTTAAAAAAAAAAGAAACTCTCTTAATATATTATATATTATACCATACCACATATTTTATTATAATCGAGTATTGAGAATGGGTACCGTATCAAATAAAATCGAGTATCGGGTATCAAATACCCTAAAATCAAAAACCAAACCCATCCCAGAGCCTAGAGGGTTTTAATCTAAAATCCCGAACCCATTCCAAACCCTATAGGGTTTTGATAAGTGGGTCCTATTAGTGTTGGGACGGGTTGGATACCTGAAAATTCCTGTGAAATTGCCATCCCTACATGAGACTTTTTAAAGTGTCATTATTGCTTTTTAATTGAGAGAGAATAGAGAGATTAAGGCAAGAGAGTGAGAGAGAAAGAGATAATGTCATTATTGTTTTTTTTTGGTATATATGATGGTATTGTTGTAAATATTTTGACCTTTAATAATAATTATAAATCATGGTTAAGCTCTGGGCATGTTTCATGTTCTTTGTATGTGGGAAACCATTTACCGAAATGAGAAACGGCCATGTAATTGAAAAAAAAATTATTTTCTAAGTTTTCAATGATAACCATACACTCATTTTAGTGTTAGTATAGATATTAGATTCATGGAATATGTTCCCAATACATGGTTGCGGTATGCTGTGAGGAGCGCCTTGGAAAAAACAAATCCGGTTTCCTAGGATCCACCAGCAGTTGTATTGTCTAATGGAACAAGATAAAGAAGTTGGTCTAACATTTTTAAAAGCTGGAAACTTTAACGTCGTTTGCTAACTTGTATCCTAATAGGAAATCAGCCAAAAATCGATTATTGAAATCATTGATTCCAGAAATGATACCAGAAATCACTGATTTTTTGATAATCGACCAGGAAAAATCATAATCAATGCCAAACATCATCTAGGTTGCTATTCAAAGGTCTAGTGATCGTTTGGTTAAATAATACGAGCATACCACTAAATTATGAAGATTTTTCTTCTTATTCCTTATAAAAGAAGATTTTTCTAATATTTAGATTGGCCAATTTCCCTCTAAATAAATTTAGCATTAAATTAAGAGGTTATCTGGATAATATTGCACTTTTGACAATTTTGTTGTTGATAATGCAACTTCCTAAAATGGGGTGAATCTATGCTGCCGAGTGCCGAAAAAACATGATACTAGAGGCTTTTGACTTACTCCAAAAAAAAAAAAAAAAAAAAAAACACGGAACCCTACTAAATGATAAAGATCCCCTTGTACTTTTTTTTTTTTTGCGAGAAATACCTCCTTGTACTTTATCCATTAGACAAAGATAATTGAGCAATACACACACCACAGGCTGTAATTGAGCAATATACCTTCAAATTTGGTAATTTTGATGCGAGAGCCTTGACAAAGACTGCTATTGCACTGTTTAGATACAAGACGGTAGAATGTTGCAAGCGTTTCATTTGGTTCACAATCACTTCAACCACAGCGGGGTGGTAGTGCTCGTAGGATATGGTAGTGACCCCCTTGAATCTGTCAAGGTATCG